GTTTCTTTTACAAAAATTCAAATTTGAAAAAATAAAAAAGAACTGTCTTACAACATTAGATTATTTATTGTGATAGAATTGGGCTTATAACATTAACTTTATTCTCATATCTTACAAACAAATAATTGTTTTTTCTTTAACAACATTCAATTATGCAGTTTGTTAATACTATTTAACATCATAGTAGAATATTTGACAATAATGAAATATTAACATATTTTTACTATATTTTATATATATATATATATGTACATGCCGATGAACACGTTCAGCTATACACTAAGAGTATATCCACACAACTTGCATATACCCGCATAAACATATCCATAAAGAAAATTATCCAATCGCATTTCTCCTATAAAGACGCACGTAAAACTTATGCCTCATGTGTTATGCCTTATGCAAGAGTCTTCCCGCTATAAAATAATTTTCGTTGTGCATACGTTTATGCGGCGATGCAAGTTTGTATGGATATATTTATAATGGATTAAGTTTAACTTTTGTTGTGCGATGGAAATTACATATCTATTATTTCCGAACAACCGAGACGTTGATTGGATATCGCGCCAACTTCCATCACGCGGCAAGCATCTTGTGTGCAGAAACCATAAGATCTAGGTCCGCCATTTTCTATCCAACTAGAACTTATACCAATGGGCGAGTTCAAGACAACAAAGCAGCTAAGCATGCTTACCGAGCGGATGAATATGATTGGTTCTTACCTGTGGATCCAACCGATCATGTTTAATTGCTCGGCGAACAGACCTAGCCGCTTTGTCGACTTGAACGCGCTCATTAATTGCATTCAGCAAACTTCTTAGAGTATATAAACATGGAAGAAGCCTATACCTCCTATGGCCCAAATGTGTGTCCAAGATACATGTGAAAGAGAAAGATTATATGGAACTTTTGTCTTCTATGTGCCAACGATGCAGACACTATAGTTAGTATAATATGTTACGTTCAGTATAACTATTATTGGCATTTTAAAGCATGCACAGAGAGAACGAATGCTCCTGTACACATTTGTCTTTCTTACACGCATCTTCTTATATATCTTTCTCTCTCACGCGTATCTTGGACCAAATCTGAACGACAATGCTCCCTCCATGTTTATATACTATAAGGCGAAGTCAACTGTTGAGTCCGTTGAATGCACCCAATGGCTCCTTTTAGGCAAATATTATATTTATCGTACGACAAATTTTTCAAGTGTGTTATTTGCAAAATAAAGAGAATCTTGGATCTCTTTGTCGTATAGCCAATCAACAGGCTTGAAAAATTTGTCGTACGGCAAAAAATAAAAACATATAATATTGGCCTTAATTTACTGCAAGATAAAAAGATCCTACAACTTTTTTATGCTGCAGCCAATTGCAGACTTGAAAAATTTATCGTGACGACAAATATAAATCAGCCTTAAGCCTAATCTACACTAACATTTCCACTGAGCACTTGATACGTGTATTAACTTTCTATTAAATTATATCAAGAAACTCACCAGAGGATCGATTGTGTATCTTGAAATGAAGTGAAAATTACGAAAGTAAAAAAATTTACTAGAATATTCATAATTTAATTGGTCAATATCTAGTAATCGTTGTTCACTTTTGTAATTTTCATCTCATATCAAAATACACAATCGAGCCCCTCGATTGAGTTTCCGGATTGAGCAATTTAGAACTATAAGTAGTTTCTTACGTATAATACATATATATAAGGCCGTGATCCAATTCATGCTGATAACGATCATAAACATCGTTTGTCTTTGTTTAACAAACAACAAGAATGAAATAATTTTTAAGCGTCGTGAGCGTGACTTCGGACCACGGTTTAATGCGTATGTATAATATATATGATTAATATGTTATATTTAATACATGTCCAATCCTGTTCACTACTCCTAGCTCTGGGGGCTTATTACGGTTCTTGAAACGAGGTAAAATTACGAAAGTGATCAAATTTACTAGAATATTTATAACTTCATTGGTTAAAACCTAGTGAGTTTGCTCATTTTCACTTCTGAAGAACCGTAATAATCCTTCTGAAATTCATCATCCCCCTCCCTTAAGTATGGGTAGTGAACTGACGCCGCCACCTTAGCCGCCAGTTTAATTTAGTTCAATGAGGGCAAAAGGTTGCTTTGTCGGATTTCCACCTCGCTATTTCATATCCGTAATTCCGAGATCCGTTTACAAATTAATTTCCTCTTCTGTTAAAGTTATTATTTGTCAATATAGATTGACGCGTTAGTCTGAGTTATTAACTATAAGACTGTTTCTTGACGCTCATTTTCAGCGTCAGATAGGTCACGTAATCAAATTGGCCTAGTTTCCACCGAAGGTTTAAACTAGATCAGCATATAAGAACCAGCTACAGTCAAGCATTCCCCTGTCGTTCGACTGTAATAGGGGAATACTCGACTGTAGTTGATTGTAGTTTTTACTGTAGACTGTAGTTCTTACATTCTGATCCGGTTTAAACCGTTCAGTGGAAACTAAGCCATTGATGCTTGGTATTTGTCAATTTTGATCACATAACCT